TCCAAAAGCAATTGTGTAACCATCCATTGAATCATCTTCAAACTTCAGGGCTTCTGCATCTCCTTCCACCCAAATAAGAGATCTATTATCTCCAAAACCTGCATGTATCAGAAAGACAACGCTTCCTTCAACAAAATACGTGCCACAGATTTAACATGTTCCCTGGTCAAAGTATCCTAAATAGAGTATTAACTTACCTCTCTCTTCAGCTCGCTTTTTCCCTACATTTAACATATTCGGGTTGATATCACATACATATATCTTGGTTTCTTCCAGCAAATTATCATCGTGAACATCTAGCGTGGCTCTTTTTTTGACACTATTTATACTTTCCAAGATCCTGAAAGCAACATCCCCTGTAAAATGCATCATTTCACTCGAGATGAGACTATGTCAGTTAAACAGGCTCTAGCGCAGTAAGGTAAATACAGTGATGGGACAAGCATGTGAAGGAAAAACATCCGCATTGAATATAAAATAGAGATGATTTTCTATTTCAGCCTGGAATCACAATAATTACAAGTACAAAAATATTGCCCTATCTGCTCTGCAGCTAGACTGGCAAGTGACTGGTGAACTTCTGTTCAGCCATTCATTACATGCTCAAATTAGATAAGATTTTTTTGGCAGTATATTATGGTCGCTCAACATTTCATCATAGAAGGATTCATTTTATGAAGAATCCCATATAAAGAAGACCTCAAATAAGATAACTCAAAAATTGGAAGAAATCTCATACAATAAGAGTTTGTGGATAATACTGTTTCATGCAGCACATAAAAATTTGCTTAACTTCTCTAACATTTCTCGATTCCCAAAAGAACAATATCCAGAGAGTGGTTTACTAAGCAGTTTTCAAGTCATATCAATACTATTTCATAGCAAAAGTCTGTTTTATATATATGTGTGAACATAGCAACTGAATAACACGAGCATGATATAGTTATAATACACCTGTTCCACCAGCCACATCAAGATGCTTCATTCCTGGAAATGGATTCAACTTGGAAACCAGCCTACACATTTTTAACAAAGGAACACAATTCATAGAGAATACATATAATTATCGCAGGCAACTGTGAATGACCATAAACTAATAGTGATGACATAATCACCAAAAATTGTAGGGGGTAAACACTAACCTGTCCTTCCATAATCTATGTAGACCACCACTCATCACATCATTCATGAGATCATAGCTTGAAGCCACACTTGTGAAAACGTTACCTACCATTTGGCTCTTTTCCTCTTCCCGAACTTCCTTAAAACCTGGAACCAGCATGCCATTCTAAAATCAGATGCATAAACAAAGTCTGTACAAAACCAGGTACCCATAATGGAAATGGATTAAATAATCTTATAGATTTAAATTTTAGGCAAAACATATTTCTTTTTCACCCCTATATTCATCCCATATATGCAAAAAAAAAAAAAAAAATCTGTACTATATTCAAACTGTCCATGGCCAAGAAAAAATAAAATAATAAACTCGTTATTTTTCACAATCATTCATCTTTTAAGTAAATTGTTTCACGTTATACGTAAGCACGCAGAATCACACACAGAGTAGATGTCTCTATGACTCTGTAGTATTGGAAGGTAGAAGGGACTGACCGAAACTGGTGGCATGCGATTGCAAAAACGAGCATGAATTGTATAGCGGCGGTATATTATTCTTCCTCAAGCTACGAGCCATCGATCGTAAAGCAGTCGCCATGAAACCCGAATTTTTTTCTTGACTTTTCGCTGAAAATGTTCGATACAGGATTATATAACGTTAGGTTAATCTCAGGGAGAGGAATTGCGTCTAGACCGAAAGAGTGATAAACTTGGGCGTTCTGCACCGGAAGGGATGAGCGGTAGAGGATATACTGGATACCGCCAGGTGTCAGGATTCTAGTTAGGGCTGGAGAAATCAGTGTTCGGATTCGAAATATTTGAAGTGGATCTTCGATTTTGATTTCTCCTATAGGTTTCGGATTTCAGGTGAGATAATGGTGGCGTCAGGGGCGGAGGAGAGGGGTGCCAGGCCAGTGACGGTGCTCGTGGTGGGGTGCGTTGGGAAGGTATGGAATTACTGGTTTTATTTTCATTTTCTAGTTTCCAATTTTTCCGTAGCTGGCAAGTGAGCTGGCAAGTGAATTGTTTCAAGAATCACTTAACTTGTATCATCGCCACGAACTGTTTATCGACCTCCATTCTACTTTACAGTACTCACTCAACTTTGTCATTTCCATCTACAACTACCAATGTCAAAAAAATTCGTTTGTTGGGCGCTGACGTGCCGACCTGCCTTCC